GTTTGAATTGCTTGAGAATGCTTGATTCTATCGGCTTTCTCTAAAAAATGATCATGATTTGGAGAATTTTTATGTTATTCAACTTTCACTTTACTTAGTGAATATAACCAGAAAACTTTTATTTTTGCCTTGCATAATTCTGATGGCCGTGTTTTCATTATTTGGTGTTTTTCTAGTGGGACATTTTTTTTTTGGCAGGTACTTAAATCCTAATGCTTTGTGAAGCGGCAAGCGAAAACTTTTGAAATATCACCATTTATACTTTTATACCTATTCTATTGTGTTCTGATATTAGATACCAAGGGCCACCAAATATTATCGAAGTCATTAACCAGAATTTCTAAAAGAAAATTTACATTAAATAGAAGGTTCCATTTTTCATTTGGAGCAAGATTCATTACTAATACAGCTTTTGAGAAAGCAATACAAAATAAGTCCATTTGTCTAAATTTTTTAAAGAAAAAAAAAAAGAACGACCACAATGAATCAGTATCTTGTTTATTCTTAAAATTAGTATTAGAAAAAAAGCAGTCTTTTTGCCGATATAAAAAAAATACTGCGTTTTCAAAGATTTGAAAAAAAAAATAAAAAAAAAATGTAAAAGAGGTCAAAAAAAATAATAAAACACAGAGGTCAGAATCGAGACCAGAATCAAAGTCGGAGGAGATATTAAAGCGAAACAAGGCTAAAAAAAAGCTAAATAAAACAACGCCACTTGCTTTAGCGTTAAAAAATAATGATAACGATAACAAAATCCAAGATTTTGTTATCGCTATCTGGCTGACAAATCAACAATATTTGGCCAATCATAATTATTGTTTCATCTGGCCAATAAAAATCCTTATGTGATTCTGCACCGCTTTAGACATCACCCTAATTTGGTATATTCCCTGACTATATTATAGTCTATAATACTTATATTTGCACCTTTAACCCAAAATATCTTGGGATCTACCAGGCCAATTTTAATGATTTAACTACTATTAGAACCAAAAAAAATCTCCACTACAACTTTACTTAGAGCTTGAAAAAAGGTTTACTTATTAGTTTTAGGGTTAAAATTAAAATAATTAAAGCTAAAGTTAGTTTTTTAAAAATTAAAGAAGTTTTTAATAAGTAAACCTT